CTACCAATTTGATCCCCATTTAATCAGTATTACCCAATCGGCTATACTTGTAGTATAATAAGGTGAACCTTATTGATTCACCATCATCTTGTCCCACCCCATACCCACCTTGTGATTTCTCTTTGGACCAATATTACCTAAGTGACTGTACTTGTAATCTTAATTGACTGGTTATAGTTCTGTCCCACCTAAACCTACCTCCCCTCATGGCTTTGCTCAATAAACACCCTTGAGAAACAGGGTTGGTGGGCAACCCACCTTCCAGACACCCTTCTGTCCCTCTTAAACAGAAGCTTGCTTTCAATACATTCTACTACTCTTAACCTTTGTTGCTCCTAGAATTCATTCCTCTATTTTAGAGAACACGAACTCGGCGTTTTGAACACCTACCAGGTTGGGGGTTATATTTCCCCTATGTCACTACCACATGCTCTCAGTAACATTCTGAAAATTGAGAAATTAGGAATAGAAGAAGCCGGGCGTGGTGGCGCATGCCTGTAATCCCAGCACTAGGGAGGCTGAGGCAGGAGGATCATGGTGAGTCTGAGACCAGCCTGGGCTACAAAGTGAGGTCAAGGCCAGCCTGAACTACATAGAGAGACCCTTTCTCAAAAAAAAAAAAGACCAAAACAAACAAACAAAAAGACCAAAATAAAAAAAAAAGAAATAGAAGAAAAGTTAGTGGTCGCCAGGGGCTGAGGGCTGGGGGGCAAGGTGCACGAATGTAATGGAAAAGGAGTATCCCGAGGAGCTATTTGTAGCGGTGAAATAGCGCTGCATCTTTGTTGCGGCTACCTGAATGCACACACGGGATGAAGTGCCATGAGCCTGTACATGCGCCGTACCAAGGTCAGCACCCTGGTCTGGTACTGTGCTGTGGTTCTGCAACGTACACTTACTGGGTGGAGGACACACAGGACCTCCCTGTGCTACCTATCAGTTCAGAACAAAAAGTTAAAAAACGAGCCGGAGGCAGCAGCGCAGGCCGATAATCCCAGTCACTCTGAAGGCTGAGGAGGATGATCACCGGTTTGAGGCCAGCCCGAGGATGTAGATCCGTGGTAGCGGGATAGACCCTGCAACCAGATCCCTCGCTGGTGACGGAGCGTCCTCAGGAGCTGCGAAAGTGACCCTGTTTCCCTAGCAACCCAAACCCAGTTGAAGACGGGGCTCTCCAGGCTGACTGAGGTGAGTTTACTGGGGTACACGGTGCTATGAATTGGATGTTTGTGTCCTTCCGAAACTCTTGTCAGGCTGGGGATATAGCTCAGCGCTTGCCTAGCAAGCACAAGGTCCTGAGTTCGAGTCCCAGTACAAAAAAAAAACTAATACACGAAACTCTTATGTTAAAATGTAATTCCCAATATGATGGAATTAGGAGGTGGGGCCTTTTGGAGGTGATGAGTGCCCTTATCAAGCAGGCCCCAGAGTGCCAGCCCTGTCCACTGTGTGAGGAAGCGGAAAAGGCACTTTCTGTGAAGAACGAGCCCTCACCAGATGCTGAATCTGCCAGCATCTTAGTCTTGGAGTCCTTCCCTGCCTCTAGATGGCAAGAAGTTCCTTTGTGTATAAGCTGCCTGTTACAGCAGCCTGGAGCACAACTTCCCTTGAGTTATCCCGGTTGGCAGGAGGGCAACCTACGCGGGAAACACGAACCTGGAGGGTACTGCCGTGCTCCCAGCTCTTTCTCCCTGGGTTTGCTCCTCTGTTTCTAGTCTGGCGATCTCAGTCTGGAGCACAGCCTTGCCCCCCTCCAATCCGGGCACCCGGGTGTGCGGAGCCCTGCCCTGTCGGCCGCCCCCTGACACGCGGCCACTCACCGTTCACTGCACGGGGTCCCTGCTGCTGCTCCCTGCGGCTGCGTGGCTCTTGTCACTCCTGCTGCTCAGAAGACTTGGCTCTTCTGGGAAAGTAGATCTCTCCTTTCCAGTCATCGCCGTCAGCTGCCTAATGACCTGCTTGACGACTGTTCTGACACCCCAAGGGGTGCCGTTCTGACCGACGGCCTGCTGCTCTGACTTAGGACCCGTCTTTTTACTTTTTGGTATGGTTCTGCGGCTCTTGTTAATAGAGCCGCAGTGTCTTCTTTTGGTACAGTGCACTTTGCTTATATAGCACTATAATCTTTGCTGGTTGTACTGTAGAGTACAGTTCTGTAGTTTCAGGTTCTGTCATACATTGCAGTACTACACATAAGAGTTATGCAAGTTAGGGGCTGGGGCTAAAGCTGAGCGGCACAAGTGCCTGCCTGGCAAGTGCAAGGTCCTGAGTTCGATTCCCAGCGCCAAAAAGAAAGTTATGCAAATTAAAGCAAAGACATCAAGTTAGCATTCTCTTTGACCATTTCTTTTTCTGAATGCTGTAATGTAGGTACTCTACACAATTCCTCATTTAGTGACCAATTCATTTCACGATCTAGTCCCAGGACCAGGCATGGCTGTTAAACAAGGAGTATCTGTACTAAATTCCCACTATGCTCAGTACAACTTTTCTAACTGGGAAATTTCTATTTCTTGTCTACTGATGGCATCTTCCCTAATTTCTGGAGCTATTGTGGATTTAGGAAGTGTGAAAGATAAGAGTGACCTGTTATAATTTGTCCTTACCTACTATCTGTCCAAAACAACGTTCAGCAAGTTCACCCATGGCCTCTCTATTGCTAAATTGAGTGGACAGTGTTTAATTCTTCTTTTTTTTTTTTTTTGTCTTTTTTCAGTTCAGGCTGGACTTGAGCTCACTTCGTGGCCCAGGCTGGTCTCGAACTTGCAGCAATCCTCCTGCCTCAGCCTCCCTAAGGCTGGGATTACAGACATGCGCCACCACGCCCAGCTAGTTCTTCTTGTAAGGGATTCTGTACTGTATTTGACAAAGCTGATGGTCTGAGTTTCCTGAGGCTGCTACAACAAATTACTACAGACTTGTTGGCTTAAAACCACAGAAATTTATTCACTCACAAGTCTAGATGCTGGAAGTCCAACATCAGTTTCATGAAAACCCATTTGAGAACCCGCCTGTCTCTCAGGAGGTATTCCTATTCCCCCTTCCTTTCCTCAAATAAGTTTTTGAACTCTTAAAAAAAAAAAAAAAAAAAAGCCAGGCGTGGTGGCACACGCTTGTAATCCCAGCACTTGGGAGGCTGAGGCAGGAGGACTGTTGTGAGTCCGAGCCCTGCCTGGGCTACAAAGTGAGCTCAAGGCCAGTGAACTGCATAGCGAGACCCTGTCTCAAAAAGACAAAAGGAAAACAAAAAGCGCTTTAGTGGGGCAAAGCCGAGGTATCAGCACATCTGTGCTCCCTCTGGAGTCCCAGAGAATAGTCTGTTCCTTGCCTCTTTCAGTCTTCATCGGCTCCTGACAGTCCCGGTTTGTGGCTGCATCACGTCAACCCCTGCTGATGGAGACCACTATGAAGCAGCTCTGAGCAGGACTTATGTTTACCAATCGGCTTTCCACGTCTACTTATGAGTCACAGGTCCCTACTGAGGCCTGTGATGGAGGGTGAAGCCCTGAGGCCTCAAAGGACAAGATAAGCTCACAGCTGAGGCCATTTGGCTCCAACCCCCATTAGCTAAGAGGAGGCTGCAGCTGCAGGCATCTCGCTCCTTCAGTGAAGGCCTTCCTGGAGATAACACAATTCTCCTAAATTAATGTATTACTTGGAGAATTCTGTAATGGGTTTCCCAAGTCCTGCCCAGATTTCTGCATTTTCTTCAGGATCTCCCTCCTCTATTTGATTTTGTTTTGTTTTGTTTTTGTCTTTTTGATACATGGTCCCACTATGCAGTTCAGGCTGGCCTTGAGCTTGCTTTGTAGCCCAGGCTGGTCTCGAACTTACGACAATCCTCCTGCCTCAGCCTCCTGAGTGCTGGGATTACAGGCGTGTGCCACCACGCCCTGCTGAACCTCTCTTTTCAGCACCTTGATACATACTCCGCCAAGATCATTCCAAGAGTCTGAGAGTTAGGTTTCTTGGTGGTAATCTTAGATCCGGCCAGTTCTTTTCTAGAAAGTTGTGTGGGCATAGGTATTAGAGAGGCAGATCCAAATCTATTAAAAAGTTGTGACTACTGGGCAGGGCGTTTCCATACTCGTTCAGGCTGTCCTTGAGCGCACTTTGTAGCCCAGGCTGGTCTTGAACTCGCAACTATCCTCCTGCCTCAGCCTCCCAAGAGTGCTGGGATTATAGGCGTGCACCACAACACCCACCCGCCTCTTGAGGCCGGGTCTCTTGCTATAACTCGGGCTGGCTTTGAACTCACTATGTGGTCCAGGCTGCCCTCGAACTCATGAGAATCCTCCTGCCTCAGCCTTGTAGGATTGCACCCCACCCCGCTCAATTTCGAGCATTATTTGAAGAGAGAACTGCATTATTTGCAGCTTCGGGGGAGATACTCGGTGGAAATAAGAATGGAATTATATAACCTTTGCTTTTCCCTACAACAGCCCATAGTAGTTTTTGAGTGCTTTTGCAAGATTAGCATCAGAGAAAATCGAAAACTGACGTGCGGTGGACTGTGGTGTATTCGCTCCTTATGACAGAATGTTATGCGAAGAAGCTCCAAAACACAACCTACTTCCCCTACGCTGTTTAAACTGGCTTAAGGTATTTTATGCACGTGGACAAAGACTAGAAAAAAATAGGGGGAAATGAAAACCGGGTTAAGCTGGTGCATATACGGCTGAATCTCCAGACATTCCTAGAAGAACATCAAACGCAGCATATTTGAATGCCGAGGGTGGACAAAGAACACGCAGAAGTAACCCTCGGTGCTCATGCGCGGCGGCTTCCGGGTCGGAGCAGCTGGACGCCGAGTCACTGCGCACCCTGCCTTCTTTAGGGCCCGGAACCCTAGCGACCTGTCCGGATGTTTTCCAGTCGGAAGTTAAAGCCCAGTGCCTGGCTCCCCCGGATGTTGTTGCACAGCCGTTTCCGGGGCGCTGGGAGGAGAAGTAGGTCTCCTAATGGGTCGTAGCCGCAGCCGATCCCCGCGGAGGGGTGAGTTCCGAAGCGGGGGCTTGGAGTTCGCGCGGCGGCGCCTGTCTCACGCCCTCTTTTTTTTTCAGTACCAGAGCAGCGGAGAGCCGGGCCCTTTCCTCCCGAGTGGTGGATGAGGGAATGAAGACCGGGGCCCTGCGCTCGTCGGCCCTGACCCAGCGGTTATAAGGCAGCTTGGGGGGTTTCGTGTCTCTGAATTAGGGTGTCACCGACTTGCGGTCCGCCTATGCGGTAACTTTTATTATACGCGTGCTCGGTGGTTTCAGACGCAGACCCAGTCCATCCGCTCGCTCTCTCGATGACCGTGCGCAAATCCCCCTTTTTGCGTTGAATTCCCGAGGTCATTCGGAGTAACCTTACGAGCCTTAGAGAGCTGGTGTGGTAGTTCAGTCCCGTCCCACGGTATTCAGTGTGTGACTTTGCGTGGCTCAACCTAAGTATCCCTCCTTTTTTTTTTTTTTTTTTTTTGTCTTTTTGATTTTTTTTTTTGTACTGGGAATCGAACTCAGGACCTTGCACTTGCCAGGCAGGCGCTTGTGCCTCTGAGCTATATTCCCGGCCCCTTTTTGGTCTTTTTGAGACAAGAGTCTCGCTATGCAGTTCAGGCTGGCCTTGAGCTCACTTTGTAGCCCAGGCTGGTCTCTGCTGGCAGAGAACCTCCTGCCTCAGCCTCCCCGGTGCTGGGATTACAGGCGTGCACCACCACGCCCGGCTCCCACCCAGTTTATTAGGGAAACCGGTATTTAGAATTTTCTGTCACCTCCTCATGTCTCTCCCAGCCCGGTAAGTGAGGCAGTGTGACATAGAGAACCTGGACTTGCATTAAGAGATCTGTTGTAGACGCGCCTTTCTCTCACGCTCACCCAGTAAATACTCAGTTTTCTCACAAGTTACAGGGGTCCTCGGGCTACCTGTGGCCATTGAGTGCTTGCATTGTGATCCGAGTTGAGAAGTACTGTGAGTCTAGAATAGACACTGCATTTCCTATTTTTAAAATGTAATCTATTTTAGCTGGGCGTGGTGGCCCACGCCTACAATCCTAGCGCGCCGGAGGCTGAGGCAGGAGGATCCTGCGAATTCGAGGCCAACCTGGGCTACAAAGTGAGCTCAAGGCCAGCCTGAACAGCGTAGTGAGACCCTGTCTCAAAAAAAAAACCAACAAAAGTAATCTATCTTATCTTTGATTACTGCTCACATGTTGAAATGTTCATGGCTTGGATGTATTGGGTCAAAAAGCATCGTTAAACCCATTGCTACCTGTTTCTTTCGAATTTTCAATATGAGTATTAGAAATGGAGCATAGTGTATTGCAGGTTAGCTCTAGATAACAGAAGCACATACTGTATGTGCTGGCTGTGCAATTTTTGTGTGTTCGTCTTAGAACGCAGGCGATCCCGGTCTACTTCCCGGGAGAGAGAGCGCCGGCGCCGGGAACGGTCCCGATCCCGGGAGAGAGATCGAAGGAGAAGCCGCTCCAGGTCCCCGCATAGGCGGCGCTCCAGGTGGGTGCGAAACACAGCCTTCAAAGAAGCCAGGCACTGCCTTCGACTTTTGTTTTTATCATGCATCAGGGATTTACAGCCCAATGAAGTGGAGGAAACTTAATCCCACTTTATTCTAAAGCTAATAGTCCCTTAGCAAAAGGGAGTTAATTACACTCAAGTCAAAAGAAACAAGTATTTTGTATTTTTGTTGTTTTCAGTGAACTTTTTGGTGCCAATAGCTTACATACCTATGTAGTCTATAATAGGAAACCGTAGAAACTGACTCTGTTAATATGCGTCAGTTGCTGTTTAAGTGGGCTTTTTGTGGTCTGTTTGTAATTGTTAGAGAATTTTGTTTGTTTGTTCGTTTTGTCTCTTGAGACAGGGTCTCTCAATGAAGTTCAGGCTGGCCTTGAGCTCACTTCATAGCCCAGGCTGTTGTTGAACTCACAACGATCCTCCTGCCTCAGCCTCCTGAGTGCTGGGATTACAGGCATGCGCCACCACGCCCCGCCTTTGTTAGAAACTTTTAAAGCAGGTTTTTCTGCCTCACAAAAAAGCTTTCTAGCCCTGATTGCTACACTGAATGCAACTCATGACAAAACAACAGCCTGTATTTTTCATTCTTCTCTATAGTCAGCACCTAGGCAGAACCTTTTTCTTACTCTGCTGTGGGGAGAGCCGGAGTCTGGCTTTGTTCAGCCTTCTGCTTGCAAGAAGTCGTGTGCGTTTCTGTCCATTGACAGAGCTGCCGTGGGTGTCTGTGTCTAACCTCTGTGCTTGTAAATAGTAGATCTCCACGACGACACAGATCCACGTCTCCTTCCCCTTCACGGCTGAAGGAAAGAAGAGACGAGGAAAAGAAGGAAACGAAAGAAACAAAGAGCAAAGAACGTCAGATCACTGGTAACATTATTAGATAAACGGCCTCGTGTAGAGAACATCAGTCCTGGTAGAACTGGAACAGTTTATGTTTTGGACATTTAATTTTTTTTGGTACCGGGAATTGAACTCAGGACCTTGTGCTTGGCAGGCAGGTGCTTATGCCACTGAGCTATATCCCCAGCCCAGGACATTTAAATCGTAAGCTTCCTACAGTGTTCATTGCGTATGGTTTTGAGATTTTAATTTTTCCTTAGTGAGTTGCTGGTTTTGTGTGGTGTTTCTGATAGGGAAGGTGCTAGGAAGGGCAGTTTAAAACATGAGCATATTCTGTTTTGGAAGTGTCTGCAAAACTAGGTAATGGCACGTCTAATAGTAGAGATGGTCCTGCCTGAAGGGTACAAGGAGGAAGCACAGTCCTTTCCTGTACCCGAAGGTTCATGCTGTCTGGATTTAAGAGGACCTTTGCTCATTAGAGTTATCCTTCCTTTGTGTGTTCTCTGCTAGTGAGATGGAATAGCTCTTAATCTCTTGCTGTTCCTCTTTGTAGTGGTTTATACATGTGTTCAGAATGATATGAGAGCTCAAAAAATTACAAGATTTTTCTTTTGTATTTTGAGACAGGGTCTCACTGTGTAGTCCAGGCTGGTCTTGAACTCACTATGTAGCCCAGGCTGGCCTCGAACTCATAGCAATCCTAAAAAATTGTTATTTTTGCAGAGGAAGACTTAGAAGGCAAAACAGAGGAAGAAATAGAAATGATGAAGTTAATGGGATTTGCCTCTTTTGACTCCACAAAAGTAAGTAAAATATGCAACCAGTTAAACGCTCTGATTTGAGTTAATGTGTTTTGCCTGTCTGTTTTCCCATATTCTTTTATGATTGGTTATAATTTCCTTAGCTATAAGATAGCAACTTTCTGTTTGAAGGACTTAGCAAGGAAGAGTAAGCATTGAACTGCCATTGCAATTCAGGGAATATTTGCCAGAGATGACATTCTAGTTAGATCTTAAAGAACAAGTAGCCGGTGTGGTGGCGTACGCCTGTAATCCCAGCACTCAGGAGGCTGAGGCAGGAGGATGGTTGCGAGTTTGAGACCAGCCTGGGCTACAAAGTGAGCTCAAGGCCAGCCTGAACTGCACAGCAAGCGAGACCCTGTCTCAAACATCCCCCCCCACACACACACAAAGAACGAGTAGAGGTGATCAGATAAAGAAGAGGAGGGAGATCTTCCATGGTGCCCTGTAGCTGTGAAGAAGTAGGTGTGGCCTGCAGTTGTGTAGGTGCATTCTGGGAATCTCAAATTCAGTGACTGGTTAAAGGATGCTGATGACATAGTGATTGTGACTGAGGCTGCAGATGGAGGTAGGAGCCAAGTTATGGAGGGCTTTAGATGCCCTTAGCCATGGTAAGGATTTTAGGGTTCATGCTGTTGAGCAGAGGAACAGCATGGAGCACAGAGAAGAGGTAGGGTAAAGTAGAGGCAGGGAGGACAGTGAGTCCTGCACCTGAAAGATGATGCGACTAAACTCGTTTGAGGTGTGCTCTAAAGCCGGAGTACCTGGGCATGGGAGTCAGCAGCAGTGGTACCTCCGAGGCACTGGGCTGGAGAGCCTGGAGAGTCCTTGAGACAGTTAACTGGGAGCAGAATTCTGGGGTGGGGAGCCTCTGGGACGGAGAATGTTACTCAGTTGCCACATAAAGAAGACCCTGAGCAGCTGCTGTGTTTCTCAGCTCCGCAGGCGGCTGGGGACAGGCTGGAGAGTGGTGAGGGGAGAAGGAGCAGAGGAGAGAGCGGAACGGTGGGGTGATGCAGGAGAAGGTGAAAGACCAGAGACGGGAAGATGGGGCAAGAGACAGGAGCCGGAGGGATAGAACAAGAAGGAGCGCAGGAGGGGAGGCCAGGTGGAGGATGAGCGAGTATGTGGGAAGAGTGTGTTTAAAAATCTCTTCTAGACTTTTAAGTTTTTCCATTCAGTTTTTGCAAATGGAAATTGAAATTTTTTTTTGAGAATTGTAAAAAATAATCTCCCCTAATCCTGTATTCCATGGAGTTGTTCATTGAATGGGGTAATCTCAGATGCTGAAGAGTTTCTTTTTTTTTTATTTTATGGAAAAAGGCAAAACAAAATTTCATAACAAGAGTCTTTGGGGGTTTTTTTGTTTTGTTTTGTTTTGGTCTTTTTGAGACAGGGTCTCGCTATGCAGTTCAGGCTGGCCTCGAGCTCACTTTGTAGCCCAGGCTGGTCTTGAACTGGCAACAATCCTCCTGCCTCAGCCTCCCGAGTGCTGGGATTATGGCGTGCACCACCATACCTAGCAAGAAATTGGATTTAATAAAAAGGTTATCATTGTCAAGTTCAGTGGCATATTGCCTTTTAATCCTAGGCACTTGGGAGGATAGCAACTTTGAATGTGGGCAGTCGGGGCAACTTAGTGAGGCCCTGTCTCAGAAAAAAAGGCCAGGGATGTAGGTCAGTGATAGAGCACTTGCCTAGTATGTGCAAGGCCTTCAGTTTAATTGCTTAGTACTGCCAAAAAAATGAGTATCATTTATTTTCAAGGCCAGTATTTCTAAATCATACCTAACTCCTATTCTTAGGAGGTCAGAATCATACTTCAAATGATTTCCTCTCCTTTCCATAAAAATAGATGAAAACAGAATAGAAAACTGAGTCCAGAATATTTCCCTTCTAATATTCCCTACTTGTCCAGAGTAGCTGTCTGCCACCTCTCTTCCCCCTTTCCTTACCTTCAAATAAATTGTCTTCCTTTATTGGAAGGAAGGAAGGAAGGAAGGAAGGAAGGAAGGAAGGAAGGAAGGAAGGAAGGAAGGGGAAAGAAAGAGAGAGAGAAAGAAAATTGAGTTTCATACATATTTACTTTAACTCTACTTCAAATTCATAGCGCACCTTGCCCATGCCTTTGGGTCAATGAGTCCAAATCTTTATTTTTTCCCTAATGTGGAAGTGTAATATGTATGCTACACAGTCATAGTACATTCCAATGAGTACTGATGGAGGACCGTGTGTGTGTGTTTCTTGACATTAGCTAGTGACATTCATTTAACAGTCATTTCTGAACACCTTCTAGTGCAGTAGTAGAGGATATGAGAGTACAAAGGAGACTCTCAGGTATATCCATATCCCTCCCTTAAGAAGCTTGCAGTCTTACCACGTGTGGTGGCACACACCAGTAATCCCAGCATTGTGGGAGGCTGAGACAAGAGGATCTCACTAAGCCTGAGCACCTTAGTGACTTAGTGAAACCCTGTTTCAAAATAAAAAAGGAATGAGTACCCAGTACTACAAAAAAAAACAAAAAACCAAGACAATTTGTAGTTTCATAGGAAAAATAACATCATGACTTACATTTCAATAAAAGCTAGACATGGTGCTATACACTTATAATCTCAGCACTAGGGAGGCTGAGGCAGGAGGATCACCAAGAGTTTAAGGCCAGCCTGGGATACATAGTAAGTTTAAGGCCAGCTGGAATTACACAGGGAGAACCTGTCTCAAAAAACCAAATAATCATAGTAGGTAAAATGTAAGGTGCTGTGCAGAAAGTGCAGTTAATGTTCTTTAGGTGTTAAAAAAAGGTACTATCTGGCAGCTGGACAGTTTGAGTTAGCCCTTGAACAATAGCTAAGAACCAGATAGTTGAAGATTAAATGGGGGCAAGGCAGGCAGTTCAGGTGAGAGGAACAGTGTGGGGGTGGGTGGGTATGTTGAGTTAACTTGGTTGGATCTAAAGACTAAAGGAATTTGTGAAAAAGAATAGAGGTGCTACTTTTAGAAAGACCAAAATCTAACAGCTTAACTGTAGCGTCCATTATTCTGTATCCTGCTAACTGATTTAAAGATCAAAATGCCAAGGCTTGCACAAGAAATGGGACTAGAAGAATGGAAACTGTTTCAGCTGTGACTTAACAATATTAGGAGCTAAGGTTATAGTTACATGTTGTGTGAATGTCAGTTTTTCTGGAGGTAGTGTGCACAGTGCTTATCTGGTTTCAGAGGATTATTTGACCCTAAAGGGTTAGGATTGGCTACCTGCTTCCCATCATGACTTGCACATAATACATGTGCTATGACTGTTTGCTAATTTGAATATTGCACCTGTTTATGTATGACTATGAAAATGTGAGCAGGGCCAGGCGTGGTAGCGCACACCTGTAATCCCAGCATTCAGGACACTGAGGCGGGAGGATCCTTGCAAGTTCGAGACCAGCCTGGGCTACAAAGTGGGCTCAAGGCCAGCCTGAACCTCATAGTGAGACCCTGTCTCCAAAGGGGGAAAAAAAAATGTGAGCAAAGTTGTTATACTTGAGAGTTAGGGGATATCAGGATCTAAAAATTCTCTTTCCCTGGACTTTTTTTCCTTTTTTTAATAGGAGTTTGCCATTTAAATGTGTCATTGTGATCTGCCTCTTTGATTTAGGTATTTAATGTGTCCTTCCTATTTTTTATTTGCTGTTTTTCTCCAGGGGAAGAAGGTAGATGGCTCCGTAAATGCCTATGCTATAAATGTATCTCAGAAGAGGAAATACAGGTATGCATGGATCCCCATTATGTTTGAACTATTGAAATCAGTTGTACACATGGAAAAAAACCTTATTAATGGGTATCATGTTTATTTAGAAAATATAGCAGTTTTCCATACTTCCCCTTATTTTAATGAAGTATCTTCCTTACTTATATTTTGGTATGCAAAAGTTGTTTTCCAGTTTATGTGTACTCTAGGTACTATAGATAAATGTCAGCGTAAATGTTGTAGGGCTATCAATAGTAAATTCTTCAAAATAATCAAATTTCAAGTATTTGGGGTTTGACTTCAATATAATTATAGATTTAACATAAATCCCTTCTTTATTATTTACTTATATTGATTATGTAAGGATTTCAACTGTATATTCTCCTTTTTTTTAAATTTGTCTTTTTGAGACAGGGTCTTGCTCTGCAGTTCAGGCTGGCGTTGAGCTCACTTTGTAGCCCAGGCTGTTCTCAAACTTGCAACGATCCTTCTGCCTCAGCCTCCCAAGTGCTGGGATTATAGCCGAGCACCACCACGCCTGGCCTTTTTATTTATTTATTTATTTATTTTGGTTTTTCTCCAGTACCAGGAACCATTTTTATTATTTTTAAAAAGTTTTTGAGACGGTGTTTTCCAGGCTGTTTGCTGTGTTTTCCAGGCTGGCCTTGAACTTCCAGAGCTCTTGCCTTGGCCTCCGGGTAACTGGGGTCATAGGTGTGTGCCACAACCCTTGACTTGGTTTTTTTTTTTTTGTTTTTTTTTTTTTAAGTCTGTAGACTCTTCCCAAATACTTTTGGAAATATACTTCCATACTGCAACTCTGTGAGTTCAATGGCTACCTGGGGCTGCTTTGTGAGTTCAAAGCCAACTTGAGTTACAAGGCTAGACCTGTCTCAAAAACAAGGAAAATAATTTTTGCGTAACGTGCATTAGACAGCCCTGAGTAGTTTCTACCCTAACCCGTAGCATTTTAAAGACGGTTTTAGTTTAAACACTGGGGTATGGTGCTGGGGATTTAGCTCAGTGGCACAGTGCCTGCCTAGCAAGCGCAGGGTTGTGAGTTCGATTCCTGGTACCGGAAGAAAACCAAAAAATAAATAAATAAATAAACACTGGGGTATGTGTGTAGATAGATAGATAGATAAATATAAATATATTTCAGATTTTAAAAAAAATAAACAATGGTTTTCTCGTCTCATCATAGGCAGTACATGAATAGAAAAGGTGGATTCAACAGACCTCTGGATTTTATTGCATGAGAACTAAAATACTGAAGAATGATTTTCCCCCTCGTCTTGGTTGGAGAGTGGATTTCGTATTTGGTATTTAATGTGCATCAAACACCGGGTCTCAGTTCTTCCTTGTACAGTAAGAAGATCTTATTTATGATTTCCTTCTACTTTTTTTAAAAAGGAAATAACATTTGAGGCACTCATCAGCCCCATATTGTTTATTCTTGTTCCTATGGAAGCTGTGTGTGTTTTCTTCTTGGATGCTTGTTAGAACTTTTTAAGAAACATGAAAGTAATTTGGACTTGAGTTTCTTCAATAAAGCAATATTTCTACCCATTTTATATTTGATAAATATTTTCATTACTAGATAAAAAAAACCTCTTTAGACTTTTTCACACACTGATTTAGACAACTTTAATTTTTAGCAGTTTAAAAATTGGAGAACAAAAAAGCATAGCTTTGGATTTATGTGTTCCCCCAATAAAATAGCATTTCTTTTTTTTTTTTTTTTTTTTTTTTTGACCAGGGTTTTTTTTTTTTTTTTTTTGGTTTTTCTCCGGTACCGGGAACCGAACTCATGACCTTGCGCTTGCCAGGCAGGCGCTTTTGCCGCTGAGATAAATCCCCAGCCCCTGAGACAGGGTCTTGCTGTGCAATTCAGGCTGGCCTTGAGCTCACTTTGTAGCTCAGGCTGGTCTCGAACTCACAGCGATCCTCCTGCTTCAGCCTCCCAAGTGCTGGAATTACAGATGTGCGCCACCATGCTTGTATAAGCTTTCTTTTTTCTTTGGTACTGGGAATCGAACCCAGAATCTTGCACTTGCCAGGCAGGCGCTCATGCCACTGAGCTATATCCCCGGCCCTAGCATTTCTTGTTTTCCCCAATTATAAAAGGAATGTATGCTTATTATAAAAAATACTAGGGAGAAACCAAAAATTAAAATTAAAGCCAAAAATTATCTATTATCTACTCCCTGAAATAATAATAATATTAACACTTTGGTGTATGTGTTTCCAGACTCTTGTGGGGTATATGTGTATTTCTCAGATCAACCTATAAGATCAAAATGTATCTACACTTTGCTTTCTCTAACCTTTTTTTTCCCATGTACTATGATCTTTTTTTTTTTAATACTCTTAAACTGAACATTTATTTATTTATTTATTTTTTGTCTTTTTGAGGCAGGGTCTTGCTATGCTGTTCAGGCTGGCCTTGAGGTCACTTTGTAGCCCAGGCTGGTCTAGAACTCATGACAGTCCTCCTGCCTCAGCCTTCCAAGTCCTGGGATCATAGACACGTGCCACCACACAGCAGTATTTTTCTTTTTTTTGGCACTGGGAATGGAACTCAGGACCTTGCACTTGCTAGGCAGGCGCTTATGCCGCTGAGCTATATCCCCAGCCCAAACTGAGCATTTAGTAGTTACTTCTTAGTGAACATTGGCATGTCTCCCATGATGTAAAATTACAATTAGAACTGGGACTGTGGTCTCCACTACATCTGTATTGTTGTATTTGATCCATTATTTCCTCAGGTCCAATTCTTAGATGTGACATTACTAGGTGAGGATAAGTGGGCATGATATACATGTTCGAAGGTTTTTGATATGTATAGCTAGAAAGTAAAAATCACTGGTAAAATACAGCATTCCTATTTCATAAAGATGCACAAATAGTTGGTGTAATTTTTTAAGTTTCCTATCTGATAGATTAAATAATATTTGCGGTTTTATTTTTGTTTAGTATCTAGGAAAAAAAAATTTTTTTTTGGTCTTTTTGAGATAGGGTTTCGCTGTGCAGTTCAGGCTGGCCTTGAGCTCACTTTGGAGCCCAGGCTGGTCTCAAACTTGCAACAATCCTCCTGCCTCAGCCTCCCTAGTGCTGGGATTACAGGTGTGCGCCACCACGCCCGGCCTGTATTTTTTAAATATATCAGCTGTATGTATTTCTCTTACTAATTCCAAATCTTAGATATGTTGTCTTTTGGCAAGTTTTCTTTTTTCCATTTGAAGGCAGCTCTTTCGTTATTGAAGATGATAACCATTACCCACTCCGTTTTATATCTTGCTGATGTTTGAGGTTCTGTGGTTAGATTTAAAATTTTATTTTGGGGGATACCTACTATAAATACATAGAACACAATTCAGATATTACAAAGAATATGTACTGGCAGGTTAATTGTATATCCATTCTGAGATATTTCATACATTTGGGAATGTATATATTTATATATATCGTATTTTGTTGGAAGATAGAAGCATACTATTCATACAGTTCTGCGCCTAGCTTCTGTTTACATAAGTGAAGCTCAGTGTGGAGACCCTAGGTTCAATCCTCACTACTGAAAAAAAATTAAAATTAAAGAAGATTTGTATTATAGAGTGCTATTTTAATATTCTAGAAAATAGTTAATGAAATACGATATGGGAAAATAACCACAACAGACAACGTAAATGTAGAAAATCAGCTGTGCAGTGTGACTTCACTTGGGCATAAAAATGGGTATCTTTTTGGGCTTTGAGAGAATTTTCTTTTTTGGTTCTGGGAATCAAACTCAGGATCTTTTTGGGCTTAAGGATAATTATATTCTTCATTATCCTTTTCTATAACGTATATTACTGTTATAATCAGAAAAATATAACTTAAAATCCTGAATTCATCATGTTCTCTTATCTGAAGGTACTTGAGAGTCTTGTTCAGTAACCCTTACAGAAGCGGGATCGCTGTGTGGTTTTCTTATTATTGGCATCCCCATTTTAGTTTAACCTTCAGTACCCACATAATAAATGAATACTTTTTTGGTAGAAAATTCATTTATTTATTTATTTTTTGGTACAGGAAATCGAACTCAGGACCTTGCGCTAGCCAGGCAGGCGCTGTGCCGCTGAGCTAAGTTCCCAGCCCAAGAAAATTGAAAACAGTGTAGCAAATTCTTTCTTTCTTAGCCGTAGCTGCAATCCTGTTTCTCCTTTTCATTACTGATCCTTTGCATGTATCTCTCCTTAGTCTCTGCTTGAATGTAGGCCACAGAGGTGGAAATGAGGAAAATATGTAGTTTGGACATTTTTTCTTTTTTTTTTTGTGGTGCTGGGGATTGAACGCAGGGCCTCATGCAAGTGATCGCAAGTGTTCTAGCACCAAGCTACATTCTAAGCCTTTAGTTTTTATTTTGAGACAGTCTCACTAACTTGCCCAGGCTGGCCTCAAACTTATGATTCTCCTAGAATTACAGGTATGTGCCACCATGCCTAGCTAGTTTAGGCCTTTGTTTAAACAAATAATATGTAAGGATCATCTTACAACTTACTGGTGCCTTGGAGATCTTTCTGGGCCATTTATAAATATAAATCTGCCTTTTAAAAAGTCCCTGCTTCACAGTGGTTTGTGTAATGTATATCATAGTGTGTTTTATTCATTACCACATTTTAAAAATTGTAAGTATTTGTGGAAGTGATTAAAATTTGCAAGGCAGAGTTTGTAAAGGTTTTTGAAACTTAGTATCATATGGAGTGTCATGATACTGGAGAATAGGATTGATATTAAAGCAGAAACTTCTGGTCCTAATTTTTTTATATTTCAAAGAACAAAATTCCTCAAAGATTTAACAAATAAAATTCATTTTAATGTCACAATGTTTAGGAAGTGTCAAACTCATTTGTAAATAGGGGGTTTTGATTTCCACAATTTTAGAACTTTTTAGACACTTAGGGGTGAAGCCTCAACAATCCCTCCCGCCATCTGAAGGACGCACTGACGGGGCGTCCCTCGCTCAGAGCTCCTGGAGCGTGTAAGGAGCCTGCTGCTTAGAGTGGCATTAACTCATTAAGTACTGCCCTGTGCCCACCAAGAGCATAACCCTGAAAGGAGGAGACTGGATCTTAGCACCCTAACACTCAGTAAAGATTTTCGGATAAATGTAATATTGAATGTCTTACATTTCTCCATTTTCAACTACATTTCAGTTCTATCAGTTTCTTCTTGACATATGCTCAAAGCTATGTTTTTATTTCATGTTTATGCTATTACACAAAGTGTTTTGTTTGCTTGTTTTCTTGAGACAGTGTCTCACTATGTAGCCCAGGCTGGCCTCGAACTAGTGGTAATCCTCCTGCCTCAGCCTCCTGAGTGCTGGGATTACAGGTGTGCACCACCATGCCTGCTACACACAGTTTTTATTTAAAATTCTGGTCATAAAATTGAGGTTCAAACATTCTAGAATTTTCAACTTTTGGGAAGACAGGGCTGTACCTATCAGTCAATTCATGTTTACATAATGCTTTCAAAGCATTAAGGACTAGGGGGTCTTTAAAGAAAACTGAAAACCTGCATTTCTGTTTTTCTTAATTAACTGGTTGTTGTATATACACTTGTGTAATATAATTTTTAGGGGAAAAAAATCCCAATTCCCCAAATCCTTTGTTTTCTACTTGATCCTTCACTTCCAGTAGATGGCACCAAATCCTCTTTGAAGTTCACCATACTATTTCTTAGTTTATGTTGCAAGCTAATTGATCATTTCTCCCACCACCAGGGAACGAAACTCTTTAATCTTACTCTGATGTTTATATAACCTAGTATTTTTGTTCAGCATACAAGCTAGACATGTTGGGGTTTGTTTATTTGCTGACTGATATTTCAAACTCCCACCCCCCTTTTCTTAAAATATAAGTGTGATTTTCAATTAGATGGTACAGGAAGAGTCATATTGAATAAGACTGAGTTAAATTAAAAGTTGAGAGTAAGAGAAAATATAAAAGGATATACTAAGTGTTCATAACAAAACTTAAGTGAAACTATAAAACTATATAAAGTTCAGAATATTAAGATAATGAAACCAAAAAGCTTTTAGTATTATCAGTTTAGGTACTTTAATAGAATTTCATGTTTCACTGATTTTTTAAATGCATTCTATAAATAACATGCAATTTAAAAAACTGTAAAACTGATATCTCTCCTGCATTCTCATTTACAACTTTGTGGGGGGTTTTTGTGTTTGTTTTTTTTGTTTTGTTTTTTGCCTTTTTGAGACAGGGTCTTGCCAGACGTGGTGCATGCCTGTAATCCCAGCACTTGGGAGGCTGAGGTAGGAGGATCGTTGCCAGTTCGAGGCCGGCCTGGGCTGCAAAGTGAGCTCAAGGCCAGCCTGAACTGCAGAGCGAGACCCTGTCACAAAAAGGCCAAAAATAAATAAAATGGAGACAGAGTCTCGCTCTGCAGTTCATGCTGGCCTTGAGCTCACTTTGTAGCCCAGGCCGGCCTCAAACTCATAACGATCCTCCTGCATCTGCCTCCCTGAGTGTTGGGAGTACAAGAATGCACCACCACGCCCGGCTCATTTACAACTTTGTTTTGTGCATTCTTGAAAAACTTCACCATCAGTCTGTGCATTTAACTAGTGCTGTCATATACAGACTTAGTTTTTAGATTCAGTTAACCAGTAACACTGGAAAATGTGTTTTCTACATGTTAAGAATGGTTTACTACACGCTTATTCTTATTCTGTTCTGATTTTAATTTTAATAGATTTATGAATCATTAAAAGATGCCTTTTGAACTGGGGATGGCCTTTGCACTTCACATCCCAAACCCTTTTTACTTATTTATTTTTATTTTGAGGCAAGGTCTTGCTGAGTTGCCCAGGCTGGGCTTTAAGTTGGAATCCTCTTGTCCCAGCCACCCAGAGTGCTAGAATCATACGCCTGGCTAAAAGACACTTTTAAAATTTTCCTGCCATCGTTGTGTTTACACATTTATACTTCTTACCCAAAGTTTGAGTGTCAGTGTTTTGTGATTCAGCCTTGAAATCTGTTCATGTGCCGTGTCTTTAGTACAACTACCACGGGAGGCTGGGGAGACTTAGGTTCACTTTCCATCTCGGCAGCTGAGGGAGGACGAGCAGCCATGTGGCCTCTCTGCAGCTGTTTCTTTGTATGCAAAGTATAGTGATTAACACAACCTACCTCAGGGGCTTCTGTGGAGGATTAGAAATGATGTATCTGAATTACCTGACACTTAGTAAGCAATAACTACCATATATTAGTAACAATAAATTAAAAAAAAATAGTCATGCTTTAGTCATTTTGATTTTGGGGACGCAATTTACCAATAGCTTTACTTCTACCTTTTTTTTTTTTTGTAGTTGTACTGTTTACATTGGAGATAGTATATTAATGTAACCTGGTTCTCCAGAGCTCTCATGTAAAATTTTTTTGATAGATTCAGAAAACAA